TACAGGTGGGTGGAGGGTATCTCTTTATTATTATGCTATTGGGCGGAGCGACCGGAAGGAGCTACCCGAGCAAAGGAAGCAAGAAGGGTAGGTGCGGCGTGGTTCACATCTCACATGCACAATGCATTCACACTCTGAGAAGTAATGCCTCAGGTATTGTGTATTTGCAGCAGCTGTTCATCCTTTTTTTATCCTTATCGATTTCATGTGAGAAGGATGGTGAGACGGTGGAGCGTCAACCAAATATCGCGGACCGATTTGGATGACACTGATCCACATCCTTATGCTTATCCGTTCCGCGGCTGGGGGGCGGGGGTGGGGCCGCGGGTAGGAGAAGAGGGAGCACGTACCGCTTCATCAGTCTGCGAAGGGAAGGGTGGTGAGACGATGGACCACGTATCAAGTCGGTGCTCTCTCTCCCTGGCGGGGGCGGGGGGGGTGGGGGGGCGCGGGTAGGAGAAGAGGGAGCACGTACCGCTTCATCAGTCTGCGAAGGGAAGGGTGGTGAGACGATGGACCACGTATCAAGTCGGTGCTCTCTCTCCCTGGCGGGGGCGGGGGGGGTGGGGGGGCGCGGGTAGGAGAAGAGGGAGGAAATAGGACGGCCGACGCTTTCAACGCCTTTCACTTATCTTGACAATCAGTAGGACGAGCAGAGGGAGTTGTTGATTTGGAGAGCATGTGTAAATTCAGAAGACTTTGTCGATTTTTAGAAAACCTCGTTTTTTTTTTTTAAAAGGTCTCTGGTGTTGTTTCAAAAGAGATCCATCCCTTGGTGTACACTGTCTTCTACAAGATTCTGTTGGCCGGAGAGAACCGTCTTCCCCCCGAAGAGAACATGCAGTCATTATAGCTGTACGTGGGGCAACTTTCGGTCATACCCCACATACAGCGACAATGACCTTACGTTACATTCCGGGGAAAACGCTGGTGTGCATGACTCGGCTGAAAAGAAGACAGAAGAAGGAGAAAAAGAAGAAGAAGAAGAAGAAGAAGAAGAAGAAGAAGAAGAAGATGAAACAAAAATCTCTGCGGAAACTGACGCAATTCTTGTCAGGGCCTTTTTAGAACCCTTGGCAGGTGATCAAGCAACAGCATGGTTTATGTAGAGCTGGATGTTTACCCCCTCTTAACCATAGGGTGCTTTTGACCCCCTTCTCGCCCGTAGGGTGTTTTTAACCCCCTATTACCCATCATAGGGTGCTTTTGACCCCGGCTTACCCACCGGGTGCTCTTGAGCCCCCTCTCACTCATAGGGTGCTTTTGACCCCCTCTCGCCCGCAGGGTGCTTTTAACCCCCTCTTACCCATAGGGTGCTTTTGACCCCCTCTTACCCTTAGGGTGCTTTTAACCCCCTCTTACCCATAGGGTGCTTTTGACCCCCTCTTACCCTTAGGGTGCTTTTGACCCCCCTCTCTTACCCATCGGGTGCTGTGCACCTGGTTAAGTTTGTGTTCCAACTTCCATCTGCAGTTGATGGTCAGTCTGACCCAAGGGTCTGCAGATGTAGACGTGCTGCCTCATCTTCTGTGTGTTTGTTTTATGGACCACATTTCATCCCTGATCCAAGTGAACCAGGACCTGTGCTGGGACCAGGTTCATATGGGATTCGCTATGAACCTGGTCCCAGCACAGCTCCTGGTCCAATGGCACACCCAGATGGAGGCTGACATACGCTGAGTAAGTAGACCTGGTCCAAGCACAGTTCCTGGTCCTTTTTCCTCTTTGCTTGGTGGGTCTTCCCCGTAACGAGACACGAACGTTCAAAGCAACTTTTTGGGTTCGTCTGTTGTTTACCAGAGTCGGTAATTTTTAGTTTTATTTTACTATAATGATTAATTACCATATATTTACGACCGCTTTGAACGGGCCCGACATGTGGTGATGTGTGTAAGCATTCAGAAATAGTTGACCCATCATCTGACCACCAGCTGGCTAATGAGTAGTAATGACAATGGTGTAAAAAAAAAAAAAAAAAAAAAAAAAGATGATTCAACCATCGACGTTGAATAGCTAATTCATTTTTGTCCATACACGAAGTAGGAATACCAGCTCGAAGCATGGTTCCTGGTCCAAGCGCAATTCCTGGCGCACCCAAGCACAGTTCCTGGTCCAACACACAGTTCCTGGTCCTATGGCCGGCCTGGATGGGGACCCTGATAGTATACACACCTGGTCCACACACTTTTCCTTGTCCTATGGCCGTCCATAGGACCAGGAACTGTACTTGGACCAGGTGTGTATACTATCAGGTTCCCCATCCAGGCCAGCGATAGACCAGGAACTGTGCTTGGACCAGGTGTGGAAAAAGGGTGAATTAACCCGAGTGCAGGACCCTCGGTGGGGCTTGTTTTTCAACGCTACCCCCCCAAAAAAAACAAAAAAAACAGTCACAAAGATATAGAAAAAGGGTGAATTAACCCGCGAGTGAGTTGCTAAGCAACTCTAGAGTCTAGAGTCATTTTTTGAGAAAAGCTAGGCGGTTGACTGTCAATTTTTTGTGTAGTGATTGTTCTTTGTTGTGCAATAGCAGAAAGCAAACTTGGACCAATTATTGATTTCAAGTTTTCAGCAACTCTTGTTCATATTTGAGAATTTCAGAAATCCGAATTTGAACTAAATATAGTAGTAAATAATAAATAACCTTTGACAGCTGCATAAATATTAAATAACAACAACTTGCCCAGAATGAATTGCACTGTGTCTTCCCCCGTCTACCTCCTCTCCTTCATCCCAACTAGCTTCAGCTTTATCTATGCCGAGGTACTCCCACCCGTCTCCAAGTGCCAATTCCCACGTTTCACCTAGCATTTTCCCCTCGCCGAAGTGTGAGGAATATGCACTCGGAAGTCCACCTCTCTTCTCCTGACCCTGTTTCTTCCCTCTCCTCTCCTCTCCTCTCCTCTCCTCTTTTCTTCCCTCCTCTTCTCTTTTCTCTCCTCTCCTCTCCTCTCCTCTCCTCTCCTCTCCTCTCCTCTTTTCTTCCCTCCTCTTCTCTTTTCTCTCCTCTCCTCTCCTCTCCTCTCCTCTCCTCTCCTGTTTAAACTTTAAACCCAAAATCCTAAAACTGTGATGTCGTCGTCGTTGTCGTCGTTGTTGTTGTCGTTGTTTAAGTAACATTTGTTTTTTTACTCATCAATCATGTTCCATCATCATCTGGATTCGAACTCGGGTCTGTGTTTCGGCAGTTCATGGGTGTACCCACTGAGCTAGGGTCTTGGGTGTTTTTTTTTTTTTTTTTAATAATGCATGACAAAGAAAAAAGAGGGTGGATCAACCACCTCCTTTCTCCCAAGAGCAGCCATTAGGTTCATTGTATATATAGACCTTGTCATGCTGCATTCGAGATCTGCTAGATGCCGGAAGATGTGAGAGTGAGGCGGCACAGCAGAATCACTGTTCGAAGTTGCCTATGTTTTTTTTTGGTTTTTTTTTTCCCACATGGAAATTGAAAATTTTGCGTCGTTTCTGACCTCTCTAGCAAAACAGCCCAAGCAGTTCCTTTTTTTTTTCCTTTTTTTTTTCTGTTCCTTTTTTGTATGATCCTCCCTTGTGTTAATTCTAAATTTTATCATTTTTTCATCTGGAGGTGCCTGCTGCAAAATAGCACCTCCTGCAGCGGTCCAGGCTGGTCCGCGGGTACCCAAAATGGCTATGTCCTCCCGCCTCGCCCCGCCCCGCCCCGCAACGCCCCACCCCGGCCCGCCCCGGCCCAAAGGGCTTGCACCTGACAGCGGTATACACTTTGTATGACGGCACAGCCTCGAGCAGTCCTCGAGATTTATGCATGTCATCCATGTGCAGGGTCCATGCTAATCTTCTTTCTCTGTATCGTTCTAATTTTAATGGATGTCCCTAAGTTTCGTTATTGTCCCCCACCTCAACCCCTTTTGTATCCTTGTATTCTACCAAATACCTAACAACCAGGAATAGCAGGGTGGGTCATCAGAGCTGTAGGCTGTGCAAACCCGGGGCCCAGATACGACTACCGTCTTCAGCCGAATAGAACGCCCGGTCATTACAGCTGTATTTGGCACAACTTTCAGCCCAGATACGGGGATAATTACCGGGCGTTCTATTCGCATGAAGACGGTAGTGTGACAATTTTATGCTGGAAGAAGGTCGTGAGCTTCAGCAATGGTTAAACCACACCAGTACTTGCCCCCCCCCCCCCGCAAAAAAAAAAAAAAAAAAAAAAAAAAAAAGAGTAGAAACCTTTCAAATCGGATGAATTTGGGCGCTCCTGTAGTAGCCCGTACGTTTCCTAAAACCGTGGCTTGTTAACGGGCACGACGACGTTAGTAAGTACTGGTGGTGGGGTGCGCTGGGAGTATAAATGAGGGGACGGGTAGGGTAGGTGGCCTATCCTGTCAGGACAACCATTGGCTGCCGCTGCCAACAAAAATCACCGAGGGTCAGGTCCTTGGCCTCTACAACACCCTGGCCTTTTTATAAATTAAAAAAAATGAAGAAAAAAAAAAAAGGAAATACTGGTGGTTTAAGGCCAAG